GAGACCCAGAGTGAATCCTTCCCATCAGCTATAAAGCTCACTGGAATGACTGTTATGTATTGGGACTGGAACATCCCAGGAGGACTGTCTACCAGAGACTGGCTGAGCTTGGAGCTCTAGAACAATAGCCCACTAGGACTCTGGAGGTGACCAATGAGGAATTAATGTTATGTAATAGACTATCCCTGGCAGTTGGGTGTGGTGTTTGCATGCTATTTAAACAGGGCTGTTGCCTGGGAGTTTTGCTTTGTATCCACTGAATCACTAATAAAGCTGAGCTGATCACTAGACTTGGGGTCTGCTCATCCATGGAACCCAGTATTTAACAATGACCTTGGGCCAACCATTCTCTATCAGTTTAACCTATCATACAGGATTGCTGCGAGGATAAAAATGGAGGAAGGGAGAAGCACATGTGCCATCTTGAGGTTCTTGGAAGAAAGGCAGGATGAAACAATATGACAGATAGGAGTCATGTGCATATTTAGTATTCCTTAATGATATCCTTGCAGACTCTGTGACTGAGCACTGGCATCCCCAGTTAAAAAGATGCCAGGACTGGGGAAAAGCTCTACCTGAGGTCCTAGAGAGCAGCTGTCAAATCAAATCAGAAACCTTTATTAGGCATTTGTTACAGATTGCATAGAGAGAGCAGGTGGAATAGCCAGCCGTGGACATGATGGACCAATGGCATAAGGCAGCTTGGTTTCGGTGTCATTGGGGTGCTAGAAGCCAAACAATCAGGGATCTTATCAGAGCTGGACAAGAAGTATGTCGGAGACCCAGCTGGGTGAGGCCGTACTTGAATTAGGTGGGCTCAGGCACCTTCATCTGTTCAAAATCCTCCACTACCATATCACCAGGCCTTCTGAATCGCCCCTCTGTCGATGTGGCAGGATGGAGACCATTGTGTGAGAAACATAGGGGCTGTGTGTCTCAGTGGTAGACTCGCTCTACATGCAGTGGGTTCCTGGGTGACAGCATCTCCAGTTAAAGGATTTTGGGTAGTAGGTGTTGGAAAAGACTTTTTGGTTCCCTCTCTAAGACCTTGGAGAGCTGCTGTTGGTGTGAGGCCTGACTTGGCATTTAGACCTTGCTTTTCTCCCCAGTGAAGACCCAAATTGTCTTACACCATCCTCCTCCTGTCCTCCATTTTATCCTCACAACAACAGGCCTGTGAGGTAGGACTGGGCCAATGAATGGCCCAAGGTCACCCAGCGAGTTCCATGCCAGACAGGAGGGTTAGAATTTGGGACTCCCAGTTCCTATTTTGACCCTCTTGACCCTACACCACGTGGTCAGCGCCATCTATTTATCCAGCCCTCGTTGGGCACATGAAACTGGATAGTCATCTCGGTCCTTATTTTTTCCATGGCAGTTTGTTCCATTATTTCTCACTTCATCTGGAGTAGACAAGGAGACCAGCTGCTTCCCGTCCCCCTGAAGGTTCTTACCAAACCCACCCCACCTCCATATCCCTTGATCTTTCTTCATACATCATGCTCTCTAGACCTGTTGAATTGCTTTTCTTTGTTCTTCGTCAGCCTCTTTCCCCTTTGCTTTCTCTGCATGTGTATGTTTTAAGTCACCCATCAGAACTCAAGCCAGCGCTCTCATCAGAGGGCAAAGATCACAGCAGTGCTGAGCAGAAGAGGAGAGAAGGCTGCCTCTGTCTTATTCCCAACCCTCCACCTCAGGGTTGCTTTTCCTTTGCTGCAGCACTACACCGCAGAGTTGTTTTTGAAACTGCGGCCTGTCATGTGGCGTGGTGGGGCGCGGGGAGCAAGCTTCTGATCGACAAAGACATTCGACCCACAGTTAGAGAAAGAATGCTGGACCTCTGATGTATTCTTGTGTTGTCGTGTGGCTAAGGATGAGAACTGGGAAATCCCAGGTTCGGATTTCACCCCAGGCAGAAAACTCTCTGTGTGGTCTTAGACTAGCCCTGGTTCTATGAGGCTGCATCTGCAACATGGAAGATAAGTCACCATGGTTTTTAGAAAGATCAGGTTGTGTGAATTCGAACAAATCATCCAGCATCTATGGGGCTTCCATTGTCCATATTCCTCACCCTTGCTTTCCACTGTGGCCTCTCTCATCATTCACTATGAGCTTGTTTCCCCGCGGTCTGATTTTGGATTGTAAACTCTGTGGGGCAGGAATTCTTGTTTACATTTCCATGTCAGCAGCCTACAGACTGATGACGCCTCTGCCCCAGAAAGAATCCAGCACAACGGTTTCTTCTTGTCCTTGTTGCTGCTTCATGGTCAACTTGACAAGGTGGCCTGTCTCCCCCTCCCCAGAGTAAAGTTTATACTTTGGGGCTGTTTAGAACACTCTAAAGGAAAACCAAATGACAGAAGCATTATTTGTCCTTAATTTATATGTACTTCATTTTTATCATTCCCTTCTTTTAAGGCATTCTCCCCCTTGCTTACTCTGTCTCACAACAGTCCTGCAAAGTAGTTTAGGCTAAGAGAGAATGACTGGCCCAGGACCCAGCAGTGAGGGTTGGGACTGCATGGGGATTTGAACCCCAGCCTCCCCAATCCCAGTCTGACACTCTAATCACTACACCACCTTGCTGTCCTATTACAGCCAGTGTGCTAACCTGTCTGTACATCTGAATGCATGCAAGATTGTGTAGAAGAAGAAAGTTCTACTGGACCCACAAACACACTTGATTTTTGCTAGCTTTTTTTTTGGTTAACTGTAGAAGTTACTACTGTGCCGAGCCTTACACTAACAATCCATATGAAATATCGTCCCATTTTTCTTTTAATTCCCCCAATGTGTTGAGATATTGATAATATATCTTCTGCTGTGTCTTTACCATTGCATTAAAAATCCGCTTTTCCCCATGTGTTTTTTTTAATTTCACTTTTATTCCAAAATATTCACATCCAGACCCAACATAGGTCAAAATTTGCAGCACAAAGACTCCATACATAGTACATAGAGCTCCAGTTATATACAGCTACAAATGTGCTTACGTATCTCTTTAAAAAAAAAAAAAAAAGCAAACCCAGGTGTGGTTTTTTTTACAATTGTACAGTATTATTATTATTTTTACAATATCCCACATTCTGACAACGTGGGAATTCATAAAAAGTTCAGAGGATTCAATCCTGATACTTGATCGTAGATAATTCTACAAAGAGTGATAGCACCACTCCGGACACAGGGAAGTGGCACGCAGGTTTCAGGCGTTTGGTTTTTGAACAAGAAAGGGGGTGGGGAAGAGAGAAGCACGGGGTCTCCATTATCTGACACATAAATCTGTGTTCAGAACAACGGCTGGGACAGAATTCTGGAGAGTTTCACATGCTCTCTTACAGAACCATTTTGTTAAAAATATATATATATATATCTCAAGATAGCTATCAGTATTTATATATCTATATAAACATTTCTGTTCCGTACCATCATCTGGACCAGTATATCTCCCCTACTCATGACTGCTGTTCATTGCAGCATGGCTGGGGGGGACATTTGGGGTTCTAAAAAAAATCATTCCAACTAGCTCACACTACGATCCTGTGGAAACAGGAAATACTTTGTTTTGATCAGAGCGGATGAAATCATGTTATGAGCAAAATATATGTTGGAGCTGGCAGAGAGATACTGAATCCTAAATTTTCAGTTAAAGGGGGCACGTTTCACAATTCAAATCCATCACAATCCACAGGGATTCCTGTGGATCACCTAGTCTGGCCTATACAGCCGCAAAATCCCATCGGTCCTGATGCTGTGGCTCAGAGAAGAATCTCTCATGATGGTCCCCAACAGAGGGGACTTCAGGGGTGCACCGATTGCCCTTGCTTAATTGGCACCTGGAAGACCGGTAGCACCAAGTTTGACTCGGTGTTTTGCTTCCTTGAACTTTAGCAAACTGTAGTCATTTTTTTGGGGGGGGTAATCATTGTCGTCACAGGCAATCTCTCTGCCAGGTCTGATATTCATCCCAGCCCAGAAAAAAAAAATGGATACGATGGGTGTGAACACAGATGGTCATGGAACTAGAAATGGGTTCATCTCTCAGAGCAGTTCTGAGAAATAAAAAGGGGGAATGTCACCGAAAGGAGACTAATGATAACAACCATCCCATCAGAACTGGGTGAGTTAAAGTGTGAATTGTTCAGATTTCTTTGGGAACAGAAGTGCAGTGGGAAAGCAGAGGATAGCAGCAAGAAAAAAAGAAAGAAAGAAAGTAGCACGTCACCAGCCATTGGCCCTTACTGTCGTAGGTTCTAGTACCACCTACACATTCTGTTGTCTGGGCGGGGGGACGGATTGGGAGAGGATGAGTCATTCCCAAGTCCTGCACAAAATGGCTGCACGGGTGCTTTGCTCCAACTGTGCGTCGAATGCCCACGGAAGCAGCCAAGGTGCAGGGCCCCCACCTCAGATTTCTTAGTAAATTACATACAAGGTTACTCACTACGAGTGAATACAATAACATATGTAAGTCCCCTTACAATGGTCCTTTCCTTAGCTCTGATCAGCATCGATGTCTCAGAATCAAGATAATAATATATTTTTTGTTTTTGTTATTTAAAAAAACAACAACAAAAAAGTCCTTCCCCCAAAACCCCCCATCCTAGGATGCCGGGCAGACATCCTCTCGGTTTGCCATTATGTGCTTTCCGGGGGTTCGGCAGAAGAAAATCCTTAAGTTATGACAATATGCCATACTCGGAGAAGTAAGTCACGGACTTATTTCAAAACGAAGGGTCACTTTTGCTTCCATCTGTAGAAGGAGACACAAAGCAAGGAGGTGGTTGGTTAGTAACCTGACCACGTGTTTTTAAATTCACTTTAACATGCATAAAGGATAAACATGTGTTGTCTATTGTTGTGTGGCTGGTTGCAGAAGGGCCAAAACACATGCAGCATCGACCATTTCTCCCCACCCTCCATTTGCTTGATCTGACAAGTCCAAGACTTTAAAACTGACTGTCAACCCTTTCCCATTGGCCAAGCCCAGTTCCGATGCTTACCTTCATGAAAGCCTTCTTGCATGTGGCTCTGGAGTTGATACAACTCATCTAACCCGTCACAGGGAGAGTTTGAGGCACGTGTCTCAAAGGCTGTTTCATAGGAGGCCAGTTCTTCCAAAAAGCATCGCTCTTCTGGAGGCAGGTCCATGCTGGGCGAGGGAGCCAAAGCTCCTTGGCTACTATCTTCGTTGTCCAAGCTCATTGGACTACTGACATTCCCACCGCAGAACTGGTGGTGAGGGCACCTCATACCTGTGCCACCTTTCTCAAACAGAGAGGCGGACAGGTCTTGGAGAAGGGTCTCAAGAGCATCCTCTTCCAGGAGATCTTCCTCTGGGCAGGTCAACAAGGAGAAGTCAATGCTCCTCCAATTCTTTGGAAGTTGGAAGTCCAGGCATGCTTCAGGGCTGGCGGCCGGCGCAGAGAAGTCAACGGCGAGCTGGCTGTTCTTGGCCAGCTCTCTGGAAGAGATGGCGCTGAAAGCTTCGGCCAGGCTGCTGATCTGCTGGGCCAGCAGTTTGATCTCACTCTTCTCTTTTTCAGAATATCTGAAGAAAGTCTGTTTGATGGGTGAGGCCTCCGGAGTCAGGATCCCCTCAGGCACCATGGGCACGTCAATATAGAGGGGACCTCTGATCTCAGGCAAGGTCATGACGGTACAGTCCCCATTACCAGGGCTGTCCGGGGTAGGCGGTAACTTCTCATAGAGAGCACTGCATTGTTCCTGGGTGTAGAACAGCTCAGAGGAGGTGGTGGTGACAGCGGTGGTTGTGGTGGCGGCGGCGGCAGCAGACGGAGCAGGGGCAGTTGCCAGAGGCAAAGCTGCTGGGGTGGAGCTCGGGGCGTAAGACTCCTGGGTTGCAAAGAGGAAGGCAGAGCCTTGGTGGCACGTGTATGGAGGGGTGCAGACAAAGTCTTTGGAGGAGCTTCCAGGGTTGTCCCTCCTTAAACTCTGCTCGTAGCCTGTCGGGACAATCACATAGCTGAATGCCGGGCCTTTGCCGAGCAGGCTGAGGCTGGAGCCGGGGGCCTCCTCCATGGAGGAGATATTTCCGGGCTCCACCATCTCCTGGGGCAGTCCGGCAGAGGTTGTCTCGGTGAATCCTGAAGGGCAGTCTGTGCCACCCACAGCACTAAAGTCAAACGAGGGGACAGCGACGCTGCCAGTCGGGGTGCCAGCCATGGGTGTGAAGACTTGGTCAGGGCTGGAGAGCTGCCCTGGAGACAGAAGGCCTTCCAGGAAAGGTGGTGTGCTTCCGAGGACATAAGCCACTTGGGTCTCTTCTGTGGTCAGCTGTTGCTTGAGGCACCAGGCTTCAGAATCACTGCAAAGAGTAAAGAGTGGAAAAGTTAGCTTATCATTCCAAGAGACCCGAGCCTCAGCAAAAGATAGACAGTTATGCTTGCTCACAGTCTTCTTTTGTTACCTTTGAAACTCCCTTTCCTTCATTTCCCCCCCTAATTCCAAATTTTGAATTGTAAACTCCTTGCAGGCAAGGACCAGTCTTTTTTGGCACAGTAAACTCTTTAAAGCTCCAATATACTGTAAAATTCCTACTGCCGATTCCCTCCTGCCTTGTTTTCCAGTACATTCTTGCTGCCCATTCCTTTTTATTCCTTTCCTTTCGTTTTTTTTAAAATTTTGCTTGTGAGTTCAGGAGCAGAGGCCCCTTGATTGAAATGAAATACGGTGGGGAATCGGGTACATCTCTGGTCGCGTGGAGAGACACCCCATGATATGACTTTTCAGACTCCACAGTAAGTTGTTTGTTCCTGTTGCTATCTCCTGCTTTCCCAGACTTTGCAGTCTAACTGGTGAGTCTGGAGGCTGCAAGCGCCTGTTTCTCCCTGTGGCCAGAGCGACTGCTTAGCAGATTTATCAGCAGCTGCTTGTCTGAGATGTCAGGCCTGCAATAAAGGTTGTCCTTTCCATGCAATGGCAGCCTGATGGAAGGCAAGAAGAGGCGGCCATTCTGAGGGCAGTTTTGGCTATGGGGCGCAGTGCAGTCTCGTGGACTGCTAGTGCCCAATGCATCTTCAGACACTGTACCTTCACAGTTCTTGACTTGGCAATTTCTGTCAGATGCCTCAGCTTCTCTTCCCCCAGCAAGAGCCCCCCTCCACCACCACCATTGATCTGACACTGAACAAAAGGAGGCAGGACTCTGACTGCAAGGATGGCGGAAAACCTTGACAATTCTACCCGTTGCTAAGCTTACTAAGAACCAGAGCTGGTCTCCAAGCCCGCCCACTCCAATCAGTGAGAGGTTCTCGATCTCTACCTGATGATGTAGCTGTGGCAAGTGATGGGGACTTCTGTATTCTCCAAGCGGAGCAGCGAGTAGATCCATATCCAGTTCAGGCCATCTTTAGTTTGAAGCCGGAGAACCATTTCAGCTTGGGTTTCACTTGTGTCACCCACTGGAGAAAGGAGCACACACACAAAAAAAATATTTAGACCATCAGGCTCACCAAAAGATGCAGCTGAGTCGCTGTTTCCTAGGGCACAGCAATTCGAGGGGGTGAAATAGAACAGCAGGGATACTCACACAGTCGGTAATGCTGGGCCGAAGCATGAGTGAGATCTTCCGGGTGGACCAGGCTGTACCACGACTTGCATAAAAGCTCGCTTTTCTCAAAGCCCAGGTGGAAAATCACACTGGAAGACCAATGAAATCAAAAAGAGAACAGTCAGTGCTGGCCAGTTAACAGCTCACCATCTGTTAACTTTGGCTACTACCAGGCTGCCCCTCGTGCGGCACCCCGGGGGTGCACTCCCCCCCCACACTCTCCCTGCCAGGCCTCATCCCCTCCGATTCATAGAACAGCTTCTCACCTTTCAGATATGTTCACAATGGCCAAATCTTTTGTGTGACGACTCTCAAACGAGGACAGGAAGAAGGAATTCGGACTCATTCTTGGCTTGGGGTCCAGAGGAGTGCAAAAGGCAGTGAAGATAGGGTTAGTAGACCAGTAGGACCCGGCTGGTGGCTGGTGGAACCTCCCTCGGATAAGAACTAGCTTGTTTCCTGCACTTTGTCGCCGGATAGTCTTGGAAGTGTTAAAGTGGCAACGGAAGAGTCGACCTGGATTACAATAAGCAATGGAAAGGTCAGGATAGAGAGCCACGGAAATATCAGCTGCTTAAGTACATTCACACTGCTAACACATTTTCTAACAGAAAGCACGGAAAGGTTCTGCTCTGCTGGGATTTGCCTCTTGGCAAGCCGTTGGCCTTTTAACATGAGAAGCATTTCTGTGCTCCAGCGTTTGGTTTTTTAAAGAGAAATTCTGGGGCTCAAACCTTCTGACCTAGAAGCCTTTCTTCCCAAACCCTGGCCTGCCCCAGCTGACATTGGTGGCTTGGTGGTGAAGGAAGGCAGTCTTGCCTGTATAATCACTTCACATTTGCCAGGACTGAGCCTAGGCATTGAGGGGGAAATGTGCTGGAATTGCCTTGGCGAGTCTTCGCTTGAATTACACCCAGCTCGGTATGTCTCTGTTCTCACGCCTGCTGGTTGACTTTGATATTAACCGTCTCCCTCATTCGGATTTCTTCCTCAGTCACAATTCCTCCTTCCCTTACATCTCATAGTACAAGCCCAAATTACAGAAGGAACTTACTGGTATCTACTGGAGAGGGCAAGGCCAGCTGGTTCCTCATCACAAAGTGATCCGCTGGATCAATAATGTCGTAGATGCTGTCCCCTTGGGCCACGAGGTCCACCTGTGGGTTAAAGTTGAAGGATATCAGGTGAGACTGAGAAACAAACACTCTCACATCAAGCACTGTGGTATCAGAGTTGATACTAACAAAAAGAAACAACCTTCAATGTCCAACAGACATTGATCAGCAGATAGATAACTGATATTTGTACATGAAGTAAAAATTACGAGAAGCTCTAGATTAAGTGCTCATGCTATAGAGTTCTAGTATGTCTAGTTTAATGTCTAACAGTGCCTAAAACACTTTCAGGTTGTTGTGTAACTAGGTGCATATCCAAAGGTTTACTCCATCTCTCTACTTTACAGGAGAGACTTAACAGAGTCTCTCTCCCTCCCTTCCTTCCTCCCTCCCTCCCTCCCTCTCAACCTACAAGCTGGTCAAATACTTACCACAGAGTGTCCCAGGTGCTCAGCAACATTTTCTGACACATAGATGAGTTTGCCCTCTCCAGTGAACGCCAGAAGAAAGCCTGGAAGCGACTGCATGAAATCCTCCAAGTCCTGGGAAGAAAGCAACCCCTCCAAGCCTTCTGAAGTTGTACCTGTTGAGAAAGAAAAGGAGAGGAATTAGCAATGGGCTTTTTTAGTATCATATCTCATGCTAGTATGCCCACTCAACAGAATACCGTCTCTGAGAATCTGCAGTAAATTATATTTCAGCACTGGGGACAGCAACAGTCACTGACCGCCTCTAGCTGGCCATTTCAGCACCAGAGACAGCGACCCTTCCACCTTCCCTGATTAGGGCTATTGCCATTTCAGCACCATAGAGAGAGACCTGTTGGCTCCCTCCATCCCAAAGACACTTTGTTCTTTTAGACTCTACCTCCCAACTTTAGGCTTTAACTGGTGTTCCCCCACCTCCAACAACTCTTTGCCCTCTCAAGCCTGGAGCTCCTTTTAAAAGTATCGGCCAGTTAGTTACCTTTGGAGAAGAAGATGGATTTTCGAGTGTAGATACACGCCAAAGACATGATGTGCAGGTACGACAGCCGGAGTTTATCCCCTTCAGCGATGGGCAACAGGTCCTTAAGATTCCTGATTTCCGCATTGATTTGGTCTCTCCGTGCCTTGGAGGCTCCCTTCGTCGACCGATACATCTCGGCTCACGAAGATCCGTGTGGCTGGCACTCCGTCTCCCTTAGTCTCCGTCTCTCTGTCTCCCAGATGTCTGCCTGTGGATCTGGTTGAGAACCACAGCTTGCCTCCCATCTTTTATAGGCTGTCGGGAGTGTGGGCACTGGCATGTTTAGGAAAGTGGGGCGGGAAGATTTGTTCAGATCAATGGAGAGACATGGCTGCAGAGCCGCTCCCCCCTCCCTTCTTTGGGCTTGGGGGAACCCAACGTCACTAGCTCCTGAATGACGTGGTGAGAATGGGGGGGGAGAGCGGAGGAGGCAGCCAAAGAAACACTGCACCGAATTAGGAGATAAACCAGACAGAGGAGACTGTTGGAATCACAGCTCCGAGCCTGCCTCTTTTTCTCTCTTCCCTTTCCTCCTATACTCAGATATCAACTCCTGCTCGTTGATGTCTCTCTCTCTCTTCTTTCTTTCCCCCACACAAAAAAATGCTTTCTGAATTCCTTCATGTGCATCCATCAGTTCTAGCTGTCTAGGCTTCCCTTCCTTCTTCTCTCCTTTCTCTTCCTTTTTTTGTTTTTGTTTTTGCACAAACCTGTTATACTTAATTCTTCCCCACACAATCCGTTTTTCTTTGCTTCCTTCCTTCACTTCCTCCTGCCTCATCCTTTTCACAAAAATATTTATTTCTCAAGCCTCTTCCACCACTTCTCCAAAACAGAAAACCAGGGCCAGGGTGATGGTGCAGGGGGGAGAGGGAAATGCCAGATTTGATGGGTTGTTGTACAAAAAAGTAGCTCTGAACTGCAGTTTCAAAAGGTGTGTTTATCTTGTGTTCTTGCCTGGCTCTCTCCTCTTTCTTTTTCTTTTTGTATATGGTGTTTATTTCTCTAACCATAGTCTCTTTGTAGTGTCGTAAGAAAATGTACCTGTGTGGCTTCTTAAAAATACAAATGTTTGATCTGTGAAAAGCATCCAAACCTGTTTTCTTTTGCCTTGCCTCCCCCCACCCCAGCTGCTTATGTTTGCCTTACATATTCTTACTGTTTCCCCCCCCCCCTTCTTTTTAGTACAGAAACCTTGTGCCAAGCATACCCTCATATAGGATTTCTCTCCAGGAATTCTGACTTCTGACACACAGCAATCTATAGTGGGTGAGTGAGTTCCTCTTTTTTTTTTGTCATTCTCCCCTACCCCTGCCTTTCTTCGATAAATAAATTAAAAAGTAAGATCTTACATAACACTTTTTCTATATGGAGCCAAAAATAGATATGGAAAAGAAAAGGAAAAAATGTGCCTTTTTCGGCCCCATTGTTGCCAGAGCAACTGAATGAAAAGTGAGGCTCTCTGTCTCCTGTTTTGGGGCTGTACTTTTTTTTCCCACAGGGGTAACCTAAATTAGGTAGCTTGCTTTTGCATAATCTCTCACTCCATATAAGGAAAGGAAGTTGAGATGGTGGGAGGGGAATAACCCTTTGTGGACTGGATGTTTCTGCACCTGTCTGGGGCTCTGCCAAGGGATGCATCAGGCAAAAATGTTCTTTAGGGAACGATTTTAAGCTGTAGAAAGAAAACAGACCTGACCAGGTCGAAGATGATACTATATTTGTTTTTATTTCCATCTTCATTAATTTACTGCATTGTATTTCGTCTTCATTTTTAAAAAAGGCAAAGGCTCCAGTGATAGGGAGGGAGCACTTGTTCCAAGGTGGGGAATTTTCAGCACTGTTATGCAGTGATAGCTTTCTGCAATGCAGAAGCTCTGTTTATGCAATCGAGTTGTCTTGTGATACCAAACCCCTGAAAAGTTCCTTCAAACTCTGGTTTTATTCATCTGCTGAAGAGATGATGCCTGTGTATGTATGAGAATTTGTGTATAATCAGACGATGAACTTATCTGTGGGGGAAGGGGGGGAGGTACAGTTAACCTGGGCAAATCTCTCTTCTCTTCCATCCTCAGTTAAATGAGCACACTAGCAATAGATCACCTCTAGTTTTCAGTGCTGGTTGGAGGGAAGAATTTCTTAGAAAGGCAGAGTGACCTGTGAATGACCCAGGAAAATCAACAAGACTTGACCCTGTATTCCTTGACTGTCAAAAAATAAAGAAGGTGGTGGTGGTACTGGCTCAAGAGAACAACCCTGAAATAACAGCTACTGAATTCTGGTAGGACTGTAGATGGCACTAACTGTTCTGACCTACACTGCTCCAAAGCTCTCAGGGCTAGATGCCAAAAAAAGTGGGATCTGCATTCAAGTGAGGGCACCAGTAAGGTCTGTCCTCTTTATTAGGAGATGGCACTGTCTGTGGAGGAAAGACCCATTAATGCTACTCGTCACGCACAGGCATCTGTGCTGGCTTGAGGTTTTTTGCTGTCCCAAGCGGGCAGGCAACTACGTCACAGGTGTTTCCCCAGAACCTCTTGCAATGGCAGTTCTGGGGCATACTCTTGAAGAAACCAGCTTGGCTGAAAACAGCACAAGAGCTGGGATTTGGAGGCTGGGTTTTTTTGGCATGCTTGCCTAGTCTGACCAAGATATGGTGACAACCATGGAATGGATGGTTTTTTTTTAAAGATGGGAATATTGAACCCTAGAATATCAGGTGCCGGGATGAACAATGTGGTGGTGGTGGTGGGGAAGTCTTGATGGCCTGTTTGTGAGCTTCTAAAGGCATCTGTCAAAAGCAGGCAGTTCTTACATTTTAATGGGAAAAGGAGGAGAGGGGAAGAAAGGAAATGGTTCTACCGTGTTTCATTGTTTTTCTTCTAGTAACCGCAATTCTATAAATAAGCAGCAGGACACACACACCCTTGTTTGGGGGGTTTTCTGCCAGTAGGAAGTTCTAATCTATTTCCTCAAGGAACATATTCTGCTCCCAATCATCCCTGCCCGGTGCCCACCCTGTATGGCACTGAGCTCTGCTGCTGAGTGGGCAGGACCATGAATAGCGAAGAGGGTCTGTGAAGCAGGCAAATGGGCAGAAACAGAGCATACAGTGCCCTACAAGGAAAAACTGTGGCCATTTTTCACGAGGGGCCATCTGCTCCTTCAAAAAAAGCACTGAGTCTCCATTCACACATACCCCAAGGAAACTAGGTTTTGAAAGGCACATTCCTGGCCTATGCCTTTAATAGCAACTTGGTCTGCAGAAGAGTCCAGGCTGTTGCTAAAGGCACAGGAGCAGAGGGCTGAAGAAAAGTTGGCAAGATTGCAGCAAGGAGCTGGGTACTGGATATTGGGTGCTGTAGATAGGCCTGAAACTGTGTGTCTTTTCAGAAACAGGGAAGCACTGAGAAGAGCTACCAAGTAGAGTTGCCAGCTGTTGCTTTGAAAGTTTCTGGACACTGGGAGGGCAGTGCCTAGGGGAGGACAGAGTCTGGGAAGGAGAGGGAGCTTAGAGGGGATGTGATGCCATACAGCCTGCCTTCTGAATCTGCCTTTTCCCGCAGGGGTTCTGATCTCTGTTGTCTGGAGGTCCATTAGAACATAAGAACATAAGAGAAGCCAATGTTGGATCAGGCCAGTGGCCCATCCAGTCCAACACTCTGTGTCACATAGTGGCCAAAAATACCAGGTGTCATCAGGAGGTCCAGCAGTGTAATTCCAGGAGAACTCCGGGCCCCCCCTGAAGGCTGGCAGTCCTGTGTTCAAGGTCTGGAGCATCAGCCCGCAGCTCAAAATCCAAATAGACTATAGAGTCCAAACAGCATCAAGAGCTGAGAAGGCAAAGAAAATAGAAACAGCTCAGACTCTTATGGCAAAGAAAGCCAGTCTCTGTCACGTGTATGTATTATGGGCACCACTACCAGCATAACCAATTTGGTGTCATTACACTGCATTAAATAATTCCCAGTGTGATTTACAATATCTAAGCCTGGGTAAATTGCTCAAGGGTTAGATAGGTGCTAATGTTGCATCTCTTTCTGTTTGCAAAGAAGAAGCTCTGCCTCTCTCTAAGCATGAAATGAAAAGCATTGGATACCTGTCTGGCTTTGATGCCTGCCACAGTTATTCCAGCAGTGGGCCTAGTTAAGCTTGATAAGCACCTGAGTAGGTGAAGCAGCCACTGTTGTGTAGGCGGGGGGGGGGGGACTTCCGTTTTCTGCATAGCTCCCCCCTTTCCCCAAACTAACACATTCACTTCTTAATACTTTTGCCTATATTTGCTTAGGTGGCCAAATGCTAGTTTGAGAGCCACTTTGGTGTAGGAGCGTGGACTCTAATCTGGGGAAACCGGGTTAGATTCCCCGCTCCACATGCAGCTGCTGGCGTGACCTTGGGTCAGTCACAAGTTCTTTCAGAGCTGTTCTCTCAAGGGCAGTTTTCAAGAGAGCTCTCTCAGTCCCACCTGCCTCACAGGGTGTCTGTTGTGGCGAGGGGAAGGGGAAGGAGATTGTAAGCCGCTCTGAAACTCCTTTGGGTAGTGAAGGGTGGGGTATAAATCCAATCTTTTCTTCTTCTCTAAACAAAATTAAAAGATGCTGCACCCACAGTAGGAAAAAATGCTACAGACAAAGCCAGAGAGGTGCCATATGAATGCAATCAATAATTCCTGGTACTTTTCAGTTCACACATGGAGATAGACACAGCTTCTTCTCTACAGACAGAAGGTGATGCAACGTTGGCTCTTATTTAACTCTTGAGCCTTTTACCCTGATGGAGATATTGTGAATCACGCTGGAAATTATTTAATGCAGTACAATGACCCCAAATTGGTTGCGCTGCTAGTGGTGTCCATAATGCGTACAGGTGACAGAGACCTCTTCTCTGCCCTATGAATCTGATCTCTCTTTTTCTTGAAAGCACAAAGTTTGTGCTTTGGGTATCAGCAAAGAGTTTCCCAACTCTTGAATGGGTACAAACTCTATAAAGTACTGAAGCCCCACGCAGCCTGATTGCCAATTGCTGCTTCACCTTCTCAGGCTCTCCGGTCGGTTTGAAGTCTGAGCTTCAAGCTGAAGCTCCAGCCCTCAGAAGCCCTCCTCACTCTCTCCAATCTCTAAAGCAGTGCACACT